TTTTTCAACCGCAGCGCCGACTTTTTCAAAAACGCCGCCGCACATTTAAGCTGTCCCAAACGGGGCCTAAGGCTTTGTTTGGGGTAGCTGCAGCTGTTTGAAGAAGCGGTTGTGAAGTTGCTATAGAAGCAACTGATTTTCGAAAAGCTACGGTGGTTGTTACAAATTTATCTTATTTTCAAAAAGTCGGATCGTATCTTTTTGACAGCTACCGCACTTTAACTTTTCAGGTTGAAAAAAAAAAGCTTTCTACCATAGAAATATCTAAAAAAACATCAGGAAATTTGTCTTAAAATAGACCTTGGTTGGGGCAGCTATAGCTGTTTGAAGAAACAGTTTAAATTTGCTTCAGAAGAAGTTGTTTTCAAAAAACTGCGATGACTATTATAATTTTTTTTTTTCAAAAAGCTAGACCGTAGCTTTCTAACTATCATCGCACTTAGCCAGGTCCGGTTTCAACTGCAGTATTTTGAAAAAGCAGATAAAATGTAGTTTTGCCAAACATAAAAATGTGTGGTGCGACATCACATTGCCTCCATTCCGCTGCTCCAAATGCACTAAATTTTATTTTAATATCGTAAATTAGTAAGATCACTCACTCAACAAAAAAAAAATTAAAAACCAAAAAAGGCTAGTGTGATGGCAACTAAATGTAAGTTTAAATACCCATCCTTATTAAATTTTGCTCTTGACCAATGCTAAAAAAATGCCATGCTTAATGACCTTCAACCTGAAAAAAAGCTTGATGCGCTAGCACTAAGAGCAATAAAAAGGGTGAGAGAGGGAGGAGGGAGAGCTTAATAACCTCATGTGATAATGTATGGTACTCATGTCAATTTATCAAAGATTTTCTTTGGGTGGGCATCAACAGTGTAGCATTACTCGATACTAAAAAAATGCAAAAATATTGAAAACCTAAAGTAAACTAGACAAAAGTTGAATCTTTATACGCTCCAAGTTTAACAGTTTATACGATTTCAGGTTAAACCAACATATTCAAGACTAATTTTTCTGATGCATATCAATTCACAGAGATTAAAATGAAGTGCAAAAGACAGAAAAGAGTCCATTCAGATTGTTTCAGTGACAAGAGAAATCAGATTCCAGTGCCATTATTTTTACCTTGTTTTTTGTAATTTAGGTTTTACAGTTGAAAATATTGTTATTCCTTTATTTTTTGCAATTTAATAGAACAAATAAATAATATTGCTGAAACATTAAAGATATTCATTCACATTCTTACCTGAGGACGTACTTTTTGTGCGCTAGAGAGACCAATAATGTATTCGGGAGCCAGTGGGACATCTTGGGGGCATCTGAAGCTCCCTCATCAGGTGGATATGGGATCTTTCATTGTTTCTATGCTTTTTTCCCCACTTTATTGGTATCTTCAATTTTTTTTATGCTGATAGATGGACTTTGCTGCTGAATTACGTCGTGCAATTAACAATGCCCAGTCCAATGTAACGGCAATTTCTGGTGGTCACAGCTAATTGGATGAAGTTTTGTTATAATTTGGAAATTCCAGAATCATGGATATGTACTGTACAAACAAAAATGAGTGCTAGCACTAGCAAGCACTGCAATCTTTACTTTATTAATAACTTAGGAAGAAGACAGCCTGAGGGAAAACCAGGTATGTTGAATAAATCATTTACTTTATTGAACTTTAACTTGACCATTCTATTCAATTCAATTTAACGAACTATTTGAATGCCATGTAGCCTTCCATTAGACCTAGTTGCATGTTTTTCTGGCAACCAGCAGATGTCTCTGTGTCAAACTGTATGTTCTATTGGTTTCATCAAGGAAGTGAATTGGATTTTGTTAGTAACATATGCAAGACGAAGAAGTTTATTATTATTTATTTTTGTGGGCCTTATGCAAAATTTGGGAAGGGATTGGGGTTGGTTCGTGACAAACTAGGGAAAGGTTAAGGATACACTAAAAACTAACTCATAAATTTTAATTGTAATAAAAATATGGAAGCTTCACCACCTTTAACTTCTCTATAGAAATTTTTTAGTCAACTCCTGAAATTATCTCTCTTTGTGGAAGTGGAAATGATAGCTATCCTTGAAATTTTTTTTCGGTATGTTGGCTATTTCCGTTGTTTGTGTAATTGGCTTGAAAGTGTTTTCTATTTAGATTTTGATTGTAATTTTCTTCATTGGTGTTGGATCTAATGTTTTTTTCTCAAAGATAACTAGATCCTGCTATAGATGTAGATCAAGCTTGAAGAGCAAAGCGGGAAGAGAGATTTACGGCCCGTTTAGGGCAGCTTATTGACTGTGGTGGCGGTATGGAAACGTCGCATGGATGTTTGAAAAAGGCGTTCAGAGCTGCGATTTCGTGCCGGTACGACGCACTTCCAAAATTTTGTTAATAGACGAAGAAGCGGGGAAGGGGCTGCGTCCTGCGTCCTGCGTCTGCTTCGTGCGTTAGGTGAAAAATTCCTCCATGCCCCTCTCTTCTCACCTCGCCCTCGCCTCGCCCTCCCGAGTTAGCGTTTCATTTCGCTGCCATTTCGAGGCCCGGAGGAAGCTCTGATTCCTTCTTTGGTTCTCTCACCTCTTCTCTTCTCGTTTTTTCCTCCGCTTTCACTGCGAACCCTAGAATCGGGTTGACTTTCATGTTGCTCCGAGCTCCTTGCTCTGTATCTTTCTCGGATCAGGAAAGTTCGATTGCTTTTGAGCTGATGGGCGAAGTTAATGACGATTCTACCGGGTTTGCGTTGATCTGCCGAGAATAGGTAAAGACCTTAGTACTTTGTGCTCTTCTGCCTTTAGATTTTTCTTTTTTGTTTGGATCGTTTTGTTGATCTCAGTTTTTCTTGGTGATTCTGAATGTTTTTTTTTTTGAGCTATGGTATTCATGCATGAAATTATTTAAATCTGTTGTTGAGATGGAGCAAAAACTCAATTGTAAAAATATAAGTGATATTTGCTTTTAGATTGTTTTTGAGTTTGAGCCGACTTATAAGATTTGGAACATGCTCAGTCTTTTCTTTAGAATGTTTACAATAATTAGATGGACTTGCTTTTGATCTTAAGTAGTGTTCTAGGTTTTAGGCGCTCTTTTGATTGTGCTGTAGAATTGAGGTAACAAAATAGTGAGCAGTGTATTTTAATTTATGTAACTGATCTGTAATTGTTTGAGACTTTTGTTTTATCTTTTATTTTTCCTATACAGTTCTGTTGCAAACATTTTAACTAAATAGGGGCAAAATTGGTCATTTATCCAACAACAACTGCCAATAAGTTGTTCTGAATAAGCCGCCCGAAACAGCAAATCAGTTTATTTGATAATCTGTAAATTATCAAATTATCAAAATAATCTGCTTATCAGCAGCTGCTTATCAGAGCAGATTATAAATAATCAACAGCTGCCCCAAACAGACCTTTAGTTTCAGCTTCTTGATCATTGATCTGTAGAAGACTCATTTGAACCACTTAAGATTGGGAAGTGTGTATCAAATCAAGTTATAGTGAGAATTGAGAGAGAGAGAGAATCCAAGTAGAAATTAGGATAAAGTTTGAGTGAAGCTTAAATGAAAGAGTTTGTCTAAATTATAAGATTAACTCATATCTATGCCTCTTTATTTATTAGGGCTAAGGTTAGGGAAATAAAATTGACCTTGTAAATTGATTACATAGAGAGTGCATGATTTGACATTCGTGTAGCTAGATTTGTAGCGAACAAGTTTGACCTGTATTTGTCTGATGGTGGGAACTTTTGGTGATTCTTTTTGATTGAATAGGATTTTGTGGAGAACCCTTATTTGTGGACTATTATGACTGAGTAGTGAAGTTCCTTTGGTGAGTAGCTTTTTTGTGTGGGCAACTTTGTGAGTTGAATGAATTCATTAGCTCGTTTTTAGGTTCAAATAGAGTTTATGTCATGGGCAACTCATGACATCAGATTCTCGGTGGCTTGATGTTTTATTTAGCTCTTGGCTTGGAAATTTTTACATTTTAGACGATTTAAGAACTTCAAAATCAATGAATTAATTAACTTGGTTCAAGCCCTTATGATCGCCTAATCAATTTCACCTAGACCAATATGGGTTCACATGAGTTCCTTTCGGTGGTCCTCTTATCACTTATGAGCAGTCTACAATGACAAGAATAAGATTCCAGAAGAACCTAATTTGGCCTAGATGGCTTGTACTTGTTATTATTCATTAGCTTTCATAATGCTTAGATCTTCGACATGTATTTACATATTAATAGATGTGGATATACATGCAAGTCGTGTATTGCTTTTTCAGAAAATATTTTGTTGCTCCTTTTGATGCAATATTTCTTTGATATTATCTATAATTGCTTTGTCAAGAGATTAAGAATCTTGAATATCTCTTATGCTTTGTTGTTGCTAATGAAAGAGCTTAATTTTCTGAGTGTTTTCCTAGACTAGGGTGTCTCCACCACCGAAGAATATGATGGACAAGCTCAATGAAAATTGTAGATGTGTCCTCCACCCAACAAGTTCATTTTTTGAATATGCCCTTGGGACTAAGGAGGTGATTGATGAGAGGATTCTTGGTGATGATGAGGTGATTGTCGGTACTTCAATTTAGGAATAGAGCAATCTGACATTACTTCTTTAAAATATCACATGATCTCTGGTGGTGGTTTTTAAAGTTGAACACCTTTAGACTTAAGGCTGGGCTTATAATTTGTTACTCATCTATCATCATTTAGTGTAAAGATCCACTAGTTTCTTGAAGCTGTATAATTTGATGTCTTAAAATAAAGCCAAGTCTTTGAGCTGATATCCAAACATTCTCGTGAGATGAAAGTTGTTGGGGAAACTTAAACCAGAAACATAGATGGATTCCTTAAAGCTGCCTAGCCTATGAGTGAGTGAGCTAGCTTGAGATGGATAGAGACCAATCACTAAAGAAGTCCTTTTTGAAGGTGGAATTGTATAAGAGTGCGATGAGAAGTGACTTATCCATGCTTGATGCTGAGATCATTGGTGAAGTTGCTCAAATTGGTGAATTTGCAAGTTATGGTGGTGAGGAGTCTATTTTAGAGGTCATTGTATCTTTTATTAAAGGGGAGTCTCAAACTCACATCTTGAGGATGGGAGAATATAAGACAAGTAGTTTTACAAAAGACCTAGCATTACTTAAAAGTCAACTAGATTTCCTAATGTTAGCACGAGTGTTGAGAACACAAGAATCTCCTACAAAATAAAATTTTTTATGAAGTTAAGGGGTTTAAAGTCTTTGGGTAGACCGGGAGGTTATGATTGAAGAAAGTTGAAGACAGGCTGAACTGACAGAGTTATCACTTTGTCTGCTAGCTTGAGAACTTTGGCCATGACTTTAATTGGGAAGCTGATGAACTTGGATAAAGGTAGTTCTCGCAAGGAATTTTGTTGAGACTCTGCGAACGAGTCAATTCATAGTATGTGATGAGCTCATTTTGCTCTAGTTAATCTTAGCTATCAATTCCTCATGAATTCTACCTCAAGTTGAGATTGTGCCCATGCATTGGGAGGGACTTGAATCTTGATTCCCCAACTTCCCCAAATCATTTTTGAAATTAATTTAATGTTTCTTTTGCTTGAAATTTCAGTGCACCTCATTGAAAAGTTAAGAAGAAATTTAAATTATCAATGTTTTTTTATAGATTTTTCCTTTATTGATGCAATGATTTTTTTTTGGAATGAGATTGATGATAATTTTTTGGATAAATGCTTGTAATTATGATACTAGTTTAGATCTATTTTTCATATATTTATTTGAATACCCACCTCATGCTTGTGGTCTTAAGATTATTTGTGGAGGCGATGCTTATTTGCATGTAGATTACTTATACTCGTTCTTTCACTTTGAATTCACTGTGAACTTAACCTTCACTATAGCATCATCTTTCACTACGAAGTAAATTATTGCTAGTAAGTTGGCATTTGATTGTGAGATAGCTTTCGATCCTGTCAAAAGAAGCATGTTATTTGAGTTTTTTAGTTGACCGATAATATTGACTCGTACTCTCAGTTATATGATTGAAAAATGTGACTTAAGGTGGTCAACGGTTTTCCACATTTCTTCCTATAAATAAGGCTTTCTATTGTTATTTTATTTTTTAGGCAATATTGTACTTTGTCTTCCTTGTCTATCTGTGCTTCTTTGAGCTGCTTATTTTTTCTTTTTAGTACCTTTCTTTGCTGCTCCTAGCAGTTTCCTTTGCAATGGCCGACGCTATTTTTTTTTTTTTTGACCAGAGCAATTTGGATTTAGAGTGGAGGTATTCTTTTTCTTTAAGAGAAGGCCATAAAAATTCATTTACCCGAGTTGATTCTTAGAGAAAATTTTATTATTTTGTGATCCAAAGATCCACAAGTTCTCATGCTCAGTCTGCCGGAACTCCTCGCTGCAGGTTCTAGCCCCCAGAACTTTTCCCTGCAAGGCCCTAGTCGACCGAACTCCTTTCTATGCAGTTACTGGCCGTCGGAACTCCTCTCCATGCTGGCCCTAGTTGCCAGAATTCCTCCATGTAGGAACTAGCTGCCAAAACTCTCTCCCTATAGATCCCCAGCTGCCGGAACTCTCTCCCTATAGATCCCCAGCTGCCAAAACTCCTCACCTTGCAGTCCTCTAGCTTCTAGAGCTCTCGCTGTAGTCTTTAACTGCAGTTTACGAGCCTTAGATCATACCCTAGCTGCTGGACTATAGTACCGTTTATTGCGGAATTTCTAAACTTTTCTCAGAGGTGGAGAATTGGATTTTGTAGCGGCTTCAAGCGCTAGATCTTCAGGTTATCGGTGGATGTTGTGCAGATGAGAGGCTAAGGTCTCAACTTAAGTTGAATGCTTCTAGCGTGTGTTTGCAGATAGAGCTGTCAAAACGGCTCGTTGTTCGCGAACAGCTCGTGTTCAACTC